AAAAAACTACTCATTTTCTCAAACTTTGAACTTTTAAAATTAAAACTTGTCGTAAGGCCGTAATATTTCAGTAAGTCTTATAAGACCATGATATATATCGCTAAAAAAATTCAATAAAAATCGGCTTAAATTTTTTTTCATCAGTTAATTACAAGGAAACGGCTCGGTAGATTTTCATCTAAAACTAATCAGTATCATTCCCAACTAATATCTTTCGAACAGTTTTTGATTTTTTAAAATAGATTTGGTAGTATGATTTTAAATGTAGATGAAAAGTTTAACACTTTTTTTCAAATTACAAAGAAACGGCTTGGCAGATCGTCTCACAAATTGACAAACGATAGTCCTCATTGAGATACATCGAATGGCTTTTAAATTTTTAAAATCGGTCTAGCCGTTTTTGAGAAATCGTCGATTTACAGCAAAAAATCTGTTCACATACACATACACACACATACTTTTTCCAAATTTGATCTCATTCGATTCAGAATGGCTTGAAACTTCGAGCAAACATAAAATTAGCGAATCGAATTTTTTGATGAAAACATAAACTTCTCCTTCGCGAAGTTAAAATTAGTGTTTATGCATATTTTTACACAATCAGTTGAGTATTTATAAAATTAAATTATTATATTAAGGACTCGTAAACTAAACTACAGTGCTCACAACCAAAAAAACTAACAACGGGATAATATACTATTGTTATAGATTTTCAAACATTGGCTTTTATCTTCCTATATCAACGTCGTAAGAATCAAGGTGATGGCTGGTTATACATCTTTTGCACTCTACTTTCAAATATTGTTAAAAAAATTGTAGCGTTAAATGTTTCTGAGATCGGTGGTTCATTTTTTTACCCGCGAACTTTTAAGCCCCGTTTTACCCTATAATATAACAAATAGTAGTCTGCCCGAAGGCAGGTCCATGAGAGCACTACAAAATCTTCTTCTGATTTTCTTCCACTACCCAGTTTATTATTCCCATTATCGTTTTATTACTATTGATTAATGACCATTTATCACTTTATATTCGTTTTTATGAATTCAAACTTGTACTGCCATGCTTTCTGGTCCTATGCTTCGGCTTTCAGTTCCCTGTATTTCTTATTTTCGCGTAAGTCGTCAATCTTTTGCATTCTTCTTCCCAATCCTTTCTACCCAGTCTACTCTATATCTAATAATTAATATAACTTTTGTTTATATATATATATATATGAGTATATCAAGAAATTATTTGATCATTTCAATAATGAGTAATGTCACGTTCAAATCCACAAAATTCGTTGTCTGTAAAAATTCTTACCCAATTATATTTTTACATTCCAAATTACCATATTTATAATTAAAAATTGCGCAATGAAATTAATTCGATTCAAAGCTTATTTAAACATTTGTATAACACTAAATTAAAAGTCGGAACTCTCGCAACGTTTATAATGAATTCATTTCTTCAAACCCCATTTTATTGCTTTAAGTGGCGCGTGAATTTTTATGAAACATTAATTCATGAACGCGACACGTTTATCAAGTAATTTTTAGATAGATATCAGCACTAATTTTAGTAAACAGGATACTTAATATAATAACTACCTGTTAACACGCATTGTAATGGACTAGTTTTATATTGCATTAAGACCTTTGAATGAATGAATTTACGTGAAAGACAAACACTGTTGCGCTGGTGGATAGAATTATTAGGAATTTGTTATGACAATATTTAGGATTCACCTGAAAAGTGTTCATACAAAACTTTATTTAACGTCTTTGAACTTTGTTTTCTTATGAACTAATAAATGTATAATTATGAAGCTTCTGATAAGCCTATAAGTTATATCCCGGCCTTATTTTTTTTTGATAATTACAGATCAAATGGCATTGTTTAATAGAACTATTCAGTTGATTGAGGAGGCGTCCATTAATCACGTGATCGATTTTTTAGGGATTTCCTCACCCTTTGGTGTTACGTCGTAATATTTAAAATTATCACCCCTCCTCCACCAAACATCACGTGTATTTAAACGTAAAATTTTTCGAAGGAATTTTTCCAATTTATGAAAAAATCGTATTTTTATTTTAATGTTCGGATTTTGTCAAACGCCCCCTCCCCTTAAAAGCCTCTCGTGATTGATGGACGCCTCCTAAGGGTATTCTAGTCTGCAAGTCGTAAAAAAGGCAAATAATATTTTTACTATCCGTTTTTAAGATATTAATTAATGTGCTTTAAAGATACAGACTGAAATTAAAAATTAAAAACAAGTAGTTAACAGTTGTCTCGAAAAATGGGCACGTAACCATACCTATCCATCATTTTAACCCTCTAAAAATATATAAAGAATTATTAATCTATAATAATGTCTCACTTTTATATTAAATACGTAGAATTTAGTTTTTTTTTAACAAAATAGAGACCGCATGAAAAAAAAATTAAACAACTTTATTGATATTCTCCCATTTTTTAAAAAAAATAGTAAAAATCGGGATATGGAGATTGCCTGATTTTGAATTCTTACTGATGAGAAGCCTATAAAGGAGTTTCTATAAAAATTCCAAGTAAATCGGTGTAATAAAAGTTAAGAAATCGTGGGTATCGTATCGAAAAAGACAGTTTCGAGAAAAACACGTTTAAATTAAGTTTCTCGGACAAAAGTTGTCAAACAGCTATATCTCCAAAAATAACGTATTTTTTTTAAATCCTCTTGTACACATTTTTGGATAGTTAATCTTTAAAAATATAAAAAAAAACAAAAATGTTTTCTTAAATTCTAGACCAGAATAACTCCTTAATACGTACGCATAAGAAAATAGTGCTATAATATTTAGTGCAATGAAATTTGAAAAATATTTGTCGTTTATTGAATCTTCTTTTAGTTAGATGATTAACAATAACTGAAATTTTATTTTTGTAAAATGAATATTTTTCAGATTTCAGATTTCAAAAGGATATATTTAAATAAAAAAACTATTATTACATACATTATATGATATAATATGTGAGATTATTACCCAACTCCAACAATGTTTATGAATATCGTTATACATTTTCCGTAAAAAAGACCACAAATAAGTGCTTATACGTTTTTCAAAAGAGTGATTTCAAAAACTCTATAGAATGCAGTCTAAGATCAACTTTTCATTTATTTTAGTTATTAGTCACAATAATTATCAATGAAAATGCAATAGGTACTAACTTTACTTTTATAATATTAGCTACTCATAATTTCAAAAAGCTTATAGTGTCCTGACGACATTTTTTATAGAGATATAGAGCTACTTTCCAAAAAGAATCAATTTTTGATAGGTTTTCTAATAAGTTTTCACTAGAAGCTTTGTTCTTTCAAAAATGTTGATATTTTTCGCAAATTATTCTCGACTATTTTGAGTGGACTGCTTTACACGATCTTGGCAGAAATAAAACAAAATAAAAGCTTATAAAGTAAAAGAATGCTCACTGGGTCAAATGGCCCAGCGTGGTAATAATAACGGTATACATTACAAAATACAAAATAGTAAAAACTATTTTAACAATATATTGATGAGTACGATAAGTTTATACAGTCAAATTTGCAAAAACAATAAAATTATACATGCTATTCCAATTCCAAGTTCAAAACGGGTCATTTGACCCGCTTTTGGCATGATTAGTGTTAAAGTTAAAATTACTGCGTTGATTCAATTATATTTTTCACACTCAACATTTTCACTGTTGAGTTTTCACGGGTTCCTGTAATGTACCTAGATCATTATTATGTATTTAGATCATCCAGCAATTTTTAATTACTTGTGTTTTCGCTGAAACTTGATTTCGAAAGTGAGACTGTGCCAAAATTCCTTGCATGCTTGGCTGCATTTCGTACGAATAAACGAGTATTACGGCTTTTTCGCAAATATTCTTAACATCAAGGCGTATAGAGTATGTGATACATTTTATGTTATCGATGGAAAGAAATTACATGATTGATTACATGGATATTATTACGCATTATCGTTTTTATATAATCGACAAATATTTGCTAGAGTATTACGTACTTAGGGGCACATTTGCAATCATTCGATGATAATGATTAATAATAAAATGAAGTAATTATGTGAAGGTAAAAAGCTGTTGATTTTTGACACAAATATGGGTATATGTTCATATAAGAAAAATGTTTAAAGCATCTAGTAAAAACCATTAAAAGTTGGAATTCTCGCACTGTAATTTGAAAATTTTGAAAGCTTCAAATTTTGAATTTTTTGAAATATTGTACTATTTTGAAAATTTTGAAGTTTTATATTTTGAATATTTTGAACTTTTTTTCAAAGCAATTGCACTGCGCTGTTGTTATAGAGACGAAATATAAACGCGCGTACGCGCTGCGTCGCAACCTAACGGATAAACATTAGTATGGAATTCATAGAAATGTAAACAAAATTTGTACTTATTATTAAAATCTCTATAAAATATCTGATAATTTGATGCACGTATGACTAATAATCATTTTTGACCACCAAATGGTAATGTTTTTTTTTAAAAGGCTTTTTTTTTCAAAAACTTCAAAATTTCTCACAAGTTTTCTCACACATATTCATTTTTTGTAAGATATGTCAAAATGGATAGAAGGCTTCAAAATGTAAATATATGCAAAGATCTTCATTTTTCTCTACCTTACGTCGAAGTTAATAATGATTTTGTTGCTAGTTATTTTATCATTTAGAATATCAAATTCAGCTAGATGAGTAATTAATTTTACTTCACAATAAAATAGTTAATAATGCACAATAAATGTTTAATAATACAATAATAATAATAATAAGCACAATAAATGTAAGTTGTTTAGATGTAATATTTGAGTTGATATGATCTCTCTAGAAAGATGAGTTAATTTCTTGTCTTGTTTAACTTTCTTGTCTGTTTAAAACCTTTGAGAATAATACTGTCTGCTCAAACAGAAAACTTGCTTTTTATCATTTAAAATTTAAAAGTTCTCTAACTTTATATCTAATTATTTCTCTTCATTTCAGTTCTGAAATGTTTACGGCTGTCGACGGATCCAGTCACTCTGAAGTTAAAACGAGGTAAGTTCGAATTGGAATATCTCTTTATATTTATACCTTATTCAAGAATAGTTTCTTCATTTTTTTTTCATTTTCGAATTAATACTTGAATATTAAGAAATTAAATTAAAAAATAATACATGAATAAATTATTAGGTTAGGCCATAGGCTCTCAAAAAAACAAATGTTAAATTTATACATTTATTAATTTATTTAAAGTAAAGTAAGCGATCAGTAAATTATCATTTGGCGACAATTTTATAAGGATTAATCATACATCTCTAGGCGAATGCAGCCCAGTCATATTTTTTGTTAGGAGATGTAATATGATGTCTGTTTTACAATTATTAAATCGTTTTTTAAAATTTGATCTTTAGTAACCAGAACTAAAATGAGTCTCAAAAAGCTAAAAAAATATTTAGCTTTTTAATAGTCAGCAAATCTTGCGACCATAACTCGAATGCTAAACACATGCTACAACTTAAACGTTTTTATGGAAATGTACAATATTTTTTTTAGTTTTTTGGCCCATTTATAAATATTGTATAATATACAATTTTTATTTTAGATAGTATGAGTATCTAAATAATATAAGTAAATGATAATTATAAATATGTGGTATTGTGATACACTTTCGCAATTTTTTTGCTGACCCTTGAAAGTTGTCATGGACCTTTCGAATGTTGTCGTAGACCCCATATGTGCCACTTTGAGAATCACTGGGTTAGGGGCTTTGGTAGTCAATAGGTTATTGGAAAATTGAAATATCCAAATTTTGAGTTTTTAATTTGTCAAATATTTTAACGATAAGTTTCATTACTAATTTGTATTTGAAACTATGAAGCTAAGTCAAGCATACGTTATAACTCTCAGGGTTTTTTACATACAAATTCGATATTTTTCATCAGAATAATTTGGAAATCAAAATCTGAGAGTATGAAACATTTTCTTAACGTCTCTCGTATATTTTATTTTTCTGATTTGCTGAATTTGCGTCTTATATGTGCTTCTTCATTCAACTTTGCAATAATACTTTTATTGATAATATAATCACTTGACATTTATGATATGGGTATCTGCCATCATTCATAGATATTTATAAATTATTCTTTATTAAATAAATGGTTATTCCAACTCTGCTCTGATGAATATTTCTGGCAAAATACTTGATCAAGGTTATATACAGTGTTATCTCTGTAAGAAATGTACCCATGAAATTTATATTTTGCATTGGTTAAATAATGTATCTAATATTTTGCAAATTTTTTTCAAAATTAAAATAAGACATTTTAATCCGTCTATGGGGTAAAAAGGACCAAGTAACAATTTTTTGAAAAACAATGAAAAATCACGTTTCTGCAACGATGAGTTTTACTGAACATAGTCAGATAGTTATTTGTTTGATACGTGTAATTTGTTGTGATATAATTGTTTTGGTTTTCATAATATAATTACTAAAAGTCCCCAGGGACTATTGTGCCCTGTCCTACTCTGTCGATTAGAAACCTATACAAATGCTATTATATTAAATTATTTACATTACTCTTGGATTTCTATACATGTTTTCATCGTGATACAATAAATGATCACGATGCATCTAACTCTTGCCATATTTCTACTGAGCTTACTCTGAACCATATTTTACTGTAAGATTCCCGTTACAACGTTCAATCGCATGTATCTATTCGCCTTTTAAATTAAAATTAACGCAATATCGATTATTGGTTTTTATATGTTATTTTTCCAATGAGAATGTATGCAAAACTATACCACAGCGCCATAGAATTTAACCGCATAATATTTCAATATGTTCAATAGGTACATGTAATCTTTGCACATTATGCATGTGAAATGCGAACACTCGGTCTCGTTAAATCATATCGGCAAAAGTCACGAACGCGTTAGAGCAGCACAGGGGGGATCAACATTTCCCACTTTGTAGGCTAATAAATTACACTGCGCGACACAATTTTTTTTCTGAGATTTTATGATGGTTTTTTGGTAATTCGAGGACGCTGATTCCGAAAAAGGAATTTGGCTAGCACTCTAATTTTTGAAATATGCCAATATGCTGATGACAACATATTTCAATTTATGCCTTCAAAGTCTTTCTATATGATTTTCGAGCATTGACAAGGTCTGAATGATTTCGTCAAAAGCTCGAACAATTGTCAACCATTATGTGGTTCTCCCATCTTCCTTAATATCGCTCCTCCAAAGTCCTGATGCCTTGGTGGATACTCTCGCCCTGATCTTCGCTAATATTTCCAAGATTCGTTTTGAATAAGGGTGCGGGTGATAAATTCAAATCAATTACATCAAATATATCAGTTTTTATTTTTTACTATCTTCTCATTTTAATGTTGATTTCTGCATCTATATTACATGGTAGGCGGAATTTATTGATGTTCTAGGTTGTTCATCGTTAGCATGGATAGGGTTCATGTATCTGAACGTAAGTAGACCTTAATACCATTGGGGTTGTAGTTTATGACAGCAGCTAAAACTCTTAGTTTAGACAGCTCCATCCAATCCTATTTTTCGTATATGGTCGGAAATAGTTTTTTGAACTGGGTAAAGCCTTTCTGTGATCTCTGATGTTGTCAGAAAAGAAACCTGCTTTAATATTACCTTAACAACATCATCATCGATCAAAAATGTTTGCCCGGAACTCTGAAAGGTCGAAAACACCTGTTTCAAATTTTTTGTACCATATTTTGCATATCCTACCAGAAACTGTACCATCACCACTTTCAATAAACTTTACATGATTCTGTAGCATTTCTTATTAAAATTCAATAACGTAAATGAACTTTGTCAGTCGCCACGGTTATACTTTAGTTTCACACTTAAGACTAATGTGAATCCACTTTATTATAGTTTGTTTTTTACGTCAATACGTATACATTAAGCTGTAAAAATAAAGAGCCGATTATTCAATAAATAAACGTGCAATAAAATTTGGTGTAAAATTTGTTATAATTTTGGACGGAACTTTCTGGTTGACCTAATATAAAACGATCTTTGGCATGACGACATAGTTTCTATAGTATTCTGTTAAATGCTTTTAAATTTTGAACTTACCGAAGAAGAATTTTTGTTTCTGCCAGAAACTATAATTTTCTATTTTGTTTCTTCAACATTTCAAGTTTAACACCAAAATTGAGATAAGTATGTGTATGTGTGAGTCTGTGTACTGCACGTATATAAAAGCCGTTTGAAGAAATTTGATAAAGACTCGCGTTGATTAGTTTTGTCCAAAGATCGCTCGAGCTGTTTTTTATATTTAGTAGAGAAGCGCAAAATTATCCGTTTACGTTTTCGACAAAAATCTTCAACTGATTTGACTGTTATGTGGTGATTAGTAAAGATTGGCTAAGCCGTTTCTTTGTAATTAATTATGGAAAAAATTTCTTGTTTGTTAACTAAAATATTTTACCGGTAGTCAATGAACCAAAGATGAGTAAAAACAATTGGGACTGGTTATAATACACCATGTCATTTTGTCCTTACTTCCCCTACATGTTCTATAAGTTGTATTGAGCGATGCTTATTACCAAGAACAAAAGTTCTAAATTTTTTCATAAAATTTGATTTGATTGAAGACCCCTCCCACATGTCAATCGCATCATTTAGGTTCCTCATCCCTGATTTAGTGCGTTTATAACTTTCCTAATACGTTTGACATGTATGCTCGTACCGGGTTCGTTACACTCCTTCACACGCCTGTGACAAGTTAAGGGGTACTTTTAAGGGTATTTCTAAATATGAGTTGCTCATAAAATACATCAATAACTGGCAAACGAAATCCTAAAAAAATATTTTTGCTTGTTAAAAAATACGCCCATTTTCATACATATACACATTCATATATTAAAGATTACAGGTATTGAAATATTTAATATTTCCATGAAAATTTATTCCGTTGATCGATCATGAAAAGTCTGGTTTATTATTTTTTCAGATCCGCAAGTAAAAGCTCATGTTCGAAGGTATTTATCTTCGGCAAGTCAGCAGGATACGGTAGCTCCGGTGATCAATAATCATTGTGAAAATCTAAGGTAACGAATTGGTATATTTTTTGCTTTTTGTAGGAAAATTGAAGCTCTTATACTGAGAGCATGATATAGAACTATTTGGACATGCTTTAAGACTCAATAAAAATTCAGTTTGAAATGAAATGCTCAAAAAACCATATCATTAATTCTAACTAATTTGTGTTGTAAATTTATAGTTTTAGTATAAATATACATATATAAGGTAGAGCTGGGCTTAATGGTCCGCGGGTAAAAAGGTCCACCACCGATATCTCAAAAACAAGTAGAGTTATCAATTTTTTAACAAAAATATTTAATAGTAGAGGGTAAAAAATATATACCCAGCCATCATCTTGATTCGAGCAACATCGCTATCGGGAGATAAACAGCAATGTTTCAAAATCCATAGCAAAAGTACTATCTTTTGGTTGTGAGCACTGTTGTCAATATAATTTTTAAGCGCACGTTATTGAATTGTTTTTACCAAAACTTTACTCTGGCAAAGGTGTAAACAATAAAAAAATATTAAATAAAACAGTGAATTAAGTTAACGTTAAAGAGCAACTTTGCAAGATATAAGTTGAATATACCTATTATAACTATACTGATGATTATTTCTGACGAAATACTAAATCAAGATTGTATACAGTGTTATCTCTGTAAAAAATGTACCCATAAAATTTATATTTTGCATGGGTTGATGTAGCTATTAATTCGTAAAATTTCTTTAAAATTAAGAATAAGAAACCCATTTGCCACCTCGTTTACCTCGTTGGTGACAAATTTTTTGAAAAACTGTAAAAAACACATTTCTACAATAATGAATTAACTGGGAGTTTTACTGAACATAGTCAGATAGTCATTTGTTTGATACGTGTTATTTGTTGTGATATAATTGGTATGGTTTTCACAATATAATTGCTCAAAGCCAAATTGGACCTTTCTGCCCCGCCCTACCCTATATAAAACTATAATTTTAATTAACTTTCTATCTCTACGGGAAACAGTCAAACGGACTAGCGGATTACTAAAAAATGATTATAATTGTCTTCATATTTAATGCCTTAAATATTAAATATAATAGTAACGAGGAGTCCGAGATGCACTAAACTTGATTATATTATGTTATTTTTATACAATCAAATTGATAACAAAAAAGATCATTGCGTCAATCGAAACCCGATGTTTCAGATTAGTAAAAGCCAACATATGGTTTTCCAAAAAGGTGCCAAAACGTGTAATAAAAATACAAGATAAAATTTTATATGTATTGTAATAATATTGCATGCGAAAAATGCATAAAAAACAAAAAAGATCTTATATGTTTGTTAATTCCTTCGTGATATTAACAATTTTTATATTTTGTTAACGAAAATACGAATTGCGTGAATTTGATGGGTTTTTGTAGAGAGGTATATAAGAAATGCCCTTAAACCTAGTTTTAAATAAATTAATTAAATAATAAATTTATGAACAATAAATTCCGAAAAGCACATTACCGCGTAAAAGTTGTATTGGTCACATTGTGTCAAAAAGAAACCGAAATGCAGTCCTGACACATTTTGTGAAAATTTGAATATGGATAAAATTCTTATAAAAATATTATAAAGTGAAGACAGTTTAAAGGAAAATTAATAATTTCAAATATTTTAATAAAAATTAAGATTTCAAGTGAAATAAAAAATGTAAAAAAAAATTGAAAAGCAGAGCTAACAAGTTGTGCCGTTTGCTAAATTCTTTATACTTAACTCAATTGCCATACTTCTCAATATTAAAAATTATTATTATTAATAAAAATAAACATTAATCTAAAGATGTATCTTTATAAAAAGTGCCTTAATATAACTTTATTATTATTTTTTAGCCCGCCCTTGGGACAATGTATACCAAGAACGCCGCCGCATGCAGCCAGCGGCGTACGCGCCAATCTTCAGGGAACGACGAGAGACAGTAGCGGCAGCGACAGCGACAGTAATCATCATTCATCACGAAGTTCGGACAGCAACAGGACGAACAATTCACATTCACAAAGGAACGGACACGCATCTGGACAGGAAGAGAGGACAACGACTAAGACGCCCAGGTAATAAAAAACCAGAGGAATCTAACCAGAATTATCGTCTGATACAAAATCAACGAATTTGAATGAATCTATAACTCGAACCTTAAATAAAATGATTACCTTTCACAATAAATATATTCCCAGAAAACACGAGAAAACCATTCATAAAATAAACTTTTGAAGGCGCGAACACGTTTGAACTGACTACTGCGTCGCGCCAATTTTTAATAAGATGCCTATGTCATTTTGTTAACTTTTCGTAAGTAATAGTAATCGCAAAAAAATCGAAAATGATAATTTTCATATATCTTTACGTTTCAAAGATTTCTGAACATTTTGAACATCCCTTAGAAAAAATTGATGTCTAGCAGTTTTGGAGGCAGGTGTAGCGGTTTCGGTGATGCAATAAAAAAAAGTAAACTAGTGGGGTGGGTGGCATCGTGCCTTAAGGCAAATTTCTGGAACATCCTATATTATATTTAAGGAAATAAATGCTTTCAAATAGATTATTATAAATACTGTAACATTGTCTATTATTTATAAGAATTATATAAACTGAATTGCACAAAGTTACAATTATTCATTTAAAGTATAAAACTTAGAACTTTAGCCAGAATTAAAATAAAATCCGAATTATATTCGGTATACAAAAAAAAAAAAAAAATGGAAAAAAATGTTTAATTTTGAAATTAAAATATAGTCCCAAAAGCAATTGTTTCATCAAAACAAGCAGAAAGTTTTTTGAATCGTTCAAATCGGATGCTTAGTTTTCGCAAAAACTGCCATTTTTTGCATATTTAGCTACATATCTCCGAATTGTCTGGAAGTAATAACCACTTCTCACCATCATTACGAATTGAATATCTTTTGGATCATTCAAATCGGATGCTCCGTTCTTTCAAAAACTCGTTTTCTATTTTCTGCACCCTTTGCTCCGTATCTCCGAAACGGCTGGTATTGCCTCTGCCAAAAACTAATCTGCACATCTTCCTATCGATAGGAATCGAATGTTATTTTAACCATTCAAATCGGTCGATCCCTGCGCCCGAAAACGTGGACGAAAAATTGCGGACACACATACATTCATTTTTTCTTAGGTATGCTAAAATGTTCAGAAACCTTCAAAACGTGAAGATATGCAAAAAATTTTAATTCCAATTTTTGAACAATTACAATAACTTACCCTACGGGAAGTTAAAGAAATGCCATGTGGTGGTCAAAAATGATCATTGGACATAAGCATATTAAATTATCAGATATTTTATAAAGACTTTTAGAAAGTAATAGGAACAAATTTTATTTATATTTCTATGGTTCCGTACCAATGTTTATCTGTTAGACTGCAACGCGGCGCTTACGCGATTCGATAATTCGTCTCTACACAGCTTCGAAAAAGAAAAGTTTCCAAAATATTTCGAAGAATAAAAAAAAACAAAGTTTTAAGTATTTTTTTTAGATCTCATTTTTTTAATCTCTATTTTTTATAAATTTTAATTTTTGCCATGCACCACTAGTTTACTCATGACATTTCAAACTACTCCTAGTTGTATTCATTGGTCTCCATATAACGCGATGAAAACGCTGCAATTTGTACTAATTCTGGGCTTTTTCAAAGAATGCACTACGAATTAGCCTGGATTGTATGTTAAATCTTATTTTTCTATAGCACGGTTCCCATACTGCTCTCACCGCGTTAACGGAGGGTTGACAGCATACATTTTTGCCTTTCGCTTCTATTCTAATTCTAAGTGTTATAAGTAACTATAATATGGGTTAATTTCACTCATTTGCAATTTAAATAATTGCAATGTGGAAACAGACTATTTGTGGTATACCACACAAATGTGTAATGTACAGTTTCTATTCAAAGTAGTAATTGGTTTTCGGAGCATCTAATGAAATATTGACGGATGATCAAAGTCTTATAAAATAAGTAATTTCTTAGGTAATATAATATTCATAAAATAAAGATAGACTTTCTATTAAATCAGCTACAAAAATAACAATTACTTGGAATTATACATTATACAGAATAAAATTAATACATTGGAATTAGAAATATTCCAATTTATAGATCAAAATCATTTATTCAATACATCAACTTTCTATGGGCCGAATATTTGTTTTACATCCAAAAAATAGAGGAACAAAAAATCGGTAACTGTAAGCCTATATATGCCAATGAAAAACAAAAATTTTTTTTAAAACATTTTTTGGTATTATATGACTCATAATTATCAGGTCTAACCGGCCAACAATGTTGGCTCACTTTCGTGTATGAATTTCAAGTTGAAGAACTTAGCGAAGGCCATAAATATTAATATTGGTTGTCTTGACAACGTTATAGACGTATGATTTAAGCGTCATCTCTCAAAAAATTTGGAATGTGCCCTAAAGTTACTTACTGAGGTTTCATTAATGTTTACTTTTTCAGGTTCGAGGCGTTTATGATGACTGGTGACCTAATGTTGAATCTATCTCGAACTCCGCAAGGCCAAAACCTTCTCCCGAAACAGAATCGCAAAGTAGACAGTTTGCGGTTCGGATCCAATCCTCCTACAGAAATACCTGCACCTTCTTCCAATTCTCAAAATTCAACGACCGGAATAAAACAAGGAACGCCTGAAATGGCTAAGAAACAGACAAACTCTGCTAATAGTTCGCCTAGGCCGAGTCAGAAGCAACCTCCTAAAAAACAGTCATCAGATGAGATGAAAACACAGAATAGCGGCAGTGTTTATCCAGGTGAATATTATATTGATTGGAACGTTAAAGACGCTGTCCCAGATATTAGCTATGCAGTTGTTTCCTTTATTTGAGATATTTACATTATCCTGACACCAATAAGTAGATTTTCTGCAAATTTCCATTTCCTGAAATATTATTTTTGAAATTATGCATTTTTATTACTAATTAATTTTATATAATAATTTTTGCATCTATTCTAAAAGGACAAGTAAAATTGCAGGATTAAAAATGGCTCAAGAAAGAACTAAATTTTCTGACCATTGTCAGAGACTCTGAGATTGACAGAGATTAATATAAATGAAAATATATTCATACGTTTCATTTTACGATAAAAACTTTAATTTCAAGTATTATTTCATTTTCAAATAAATTATTCAAGATATGGACTTTTTCAATACGTTTATTTATCGCAGGTTTCTATAACGTCCCGATGGAGTTTATTTTCGACACGCAAACCGAAGCACTAGTTTTATGTTTAATCGACGTTTCAAGTGATTGTCAAGCGTTTAGCACAGAAATTGCAGAAAGTATGTGTGTGTATGCTGTAGGTCGAGCCATTTCTTTCTAATACTTAAATAAAAAAATCGTTACGTTTTGATAAAAAATTCAGAACAGATTTTATCAAAAACAACGTTCGAAAAATCATGCTGATCATTTGGCTTTATGAAGAATCGATAATTGGTTTTAGAAACGCTAAATTCGCTCTAAATATAACAGTTGGTATGTACGGTACTATTGTAAGTTGAACCGTTTCTTCTTATTTAACAAAGACTTTGATTTTTGTGCGATTTTGTATTTTGTATTTCATTTCTCGTTAGTCTTGAAGAGAAATTGCTCGACCGAATTCAATAGATGGAAGTATTTTTATGACAATATTTGGATATACAATATACTATGCTAACTAAGATCTCAATTATTGTTATCGATTAACTAAATCATTCCTGATATCATAAAGTTAAAGCGATTAAAGCAAAGTGCCACATATATTTACAATTAGTTTATGTTTTGGATTGTTTTGAAAGTTACTTTGTTTCTATTCTAAATTTTAAAATAAAATGAGTTTGAACACCTTATCAATTAGTTCATCAAAATTGCAATTGATGAATCAAAGTTTTGTGAACGAATTTGTACTATTGGCGCACTGCAGCACAATTTTATAAACTCGACTATTTTTTTCAAACTTGCAATGATTTTTCACCATTCTGCAGTAAAGAAGTAAAATATGACTATAATGGTGCTTATTGCTCTCCATATCCAAAAAAGCTCCACCCAAAACTACTGCATAGAATCTAAATAAATTTATATTAAATCTTAAATATCTTTCTATATCACCTATAATAGTATATTATGTTAGGCTACCAAATTAATAATATTATGAAGTATACAAATGTTACATACAACTATCGATACAATATTTGTATGCTGATTACTAGTAATTTTTCACTTCATTTGAACTAATGAGACCATCAACTTTGCCAGGTTTTGTTAGGACATCTAGGTCTGAAGACCATTTGCAAGTTCAACAAAAAGATAGTTTAAGCGCCGTTGCCATCGAACTCGATGACGATGTTACAAGTTCCTTAAATACACTTTTGGACACCAGACAAGATTCAGATGATAGTAATGCAGCTGATAGAATTGTATGGACATACAATGCCCCAGTGTCGAGTCCGGCAGAATGCAGGACTGGTGGTAAATAGAAACATTTATTTATTAAAACTATTACATATATTATTATTTTCAGTAATGTTAGCTTTAAGGGAAGTTATTAAAAACAAATAATTTTTTTCTAGGTCGCCGTTCTGAAGACAGTTCGTTGGAAAACAGTCCATTACGATCTGGCTCTCCAACTACATCTGTTTCTTCATCAGTCATGTCCAGTAATTCTGGTTCACGATTGATACACGCAGCGGCTGGTGATGCCACTTCAGCGACCACTGGGTACTCGCATGGAACTGGTGGTGGTGCTGATGGTGGAAGACATGACCATAGCATATCTGAAGCAGTTAGTAATATTTCTAGTCCGGATTACCAAGAAGAAACTGGTGAGTATTTTTTTGTTATTTTATTTACAAAACTCTATATAGAATATATTAGGATAAATCAGAATTCAATATTGAAAAAGGCAATTAAAAATCATAATCTATCTATATACATATATAAATAACATTTGCTCATCTGTTTGTGATATTGAAGTAACCGATTTTTAATACATGCATATTAATATAAATAACAAATTAACATTTTTTGAAAATTTTGTTTGTTTGGGCTAATTTCCGAAGCGGCTGAACCAATTTTGGCAGGTAGCTTAAAATATAATTTAGCGTAACTTTGGCTACTTTTATTTTAGGAAAAAAGTATCTTATATTATCAAGCTGTATCCAAGATTTTGTCCATATGTAAATCAAAAAAAGTTAATTAGCTTGGTTTTAGCATTTTATCTCATATCATCTTAATGTAAAATATTTTAATAGTAATATTTCTCAATAATATTACCTTATTTTAAGTCAAACCATTTTGTCACATTTTACTATTTTTTTTCAGTAAAATTAAGTACATTTGTGTTTAATATTTAGTTGCATATTGAAATTGATCAATTATAGATAGATGTTTTTTATGTAATTAGTAACATCGATAGTTTTTTCTTAAAATACATCTTTATAGGTTTGATTTCTAATGTTTTAAATGCATATCCATTAGTCATGATTAAAAGAAAATTCAAATATCTCTAAAAACGTGAGAAAGGACAAAAGTGCTGTTAGCAATTACCATATAAATACAAAAACTTCTAACTTTTTTGTTAAATTCCACTTGAACCAAGTTGCAAATACAGCTAGTTATATAAAACGATTGACAGGAATATATAATTGAATAGAATTTTTGCTACTTCAAATATTGATGAATTATAAAAAAAATATGCAATTTTTTTATAAAAACATTTCATATATTTTATTGAAAAATCACTATTGCAAAATAGATATATACATATATTGATGTATTACTTCTATATTATGTTCACAATATTATTTGTTCTCTAATTTTTCTATTTCTAGTTTTTCTTTTCTTATCACAATATCTAACCGCTCCAATTCTTTTTCTTGCACCTTTATTCTTAATTGTAATTCTACCATGCGTAATTCATGTTCTTTTGTTGCTTGCTCCTTTTGCAAATTGATAACTGTAAATACAGTTTATTATTTTCATAATACATTAATTTATTTCCAATTTAGTACCTACAATTGATAGATTCTTCAACTTCTCTTGATGTGGAAGGTTCTATCATATTGTCATCTTCACCTGAATACACAATAATATAAGATTTACAGTACTATTTGAAAATAAATCAGTATAATTTACCTGTGTGTTCTTGGAATGATACTTCTGGTGAATTTATAGCTAGTATTGGTTTTGCATCCTCGATTGATTTAATTTCAGTCAGAGGCTCTGCAATAATGGATAAAGTACTATAAGAGATGCTTTTGCAAGTAAGACTGTCTCATCTGAAGTTTATTCTTTATATAAAAATCTATTTTTATTATTAAAGAATTTCACTTATCAGTAATTATTATTCACTGCATTATACTGTGGTTGCTTAGCAATTATTGTCTTCAGACTGTATAAGTTAGTGCGCAAACAATTTTAAGTATACATATATGCATTTTTAATTCATTTTTGCACCTGGTCTTAGCACAATAATATTTTCATTACATTAGAGCGCCAGTATAGATATTCTATAATTTAATATAATTTAAAAAATGCTTCAAAATTTCAAATATATAATGAATATTTGAAAATATATCTGTATGATAAAACAAATTCCATTTTTGTTGTATGACTATCTTACAAAAAAAATATTTACTTGATTTATTTGAAATATAACTACTGTAACCTTGCCATTTCAAAAGGTAGTTAATCAAAACAAAATGCAATGTTTTTAACTCACCCATGTAAGAATGTTCATCACTAATATATTCGCCTTCCATCACACCAGTCAACATACTAACAATTTTATCTTCATGTGGTAAGAATTCTATCCCACATGATTGTCCTGGCCATTTCATCTGTGCCATCTTTCTTTTTGCATCCATTTTAAGTTGATCATACTTCGAACGAAGTGATTTTACATCACGGTAACAGTTTGGGGAGTAGGCATTGAAAACAGTACATATTTCCGCCCAGGCCTTGGTTTTCTCGCTATTTGTTACAGAGTCTGTTCTTTTGTTTTCAATTATGTGTTTTCGAGATGCAATCATGTCAACTAGAAACTGGACTTCTGGGTGGCTAAAGTTGCCCTTACGAGCACGCCTTTTGTTATTGGATTCCATTTGTAATTTTCCTGGGTAATAATTAGACACTTTAGACCTTTTTATTTAATTTCAGTTTATTAGTTATTTATTGTTAATCATACATTTTTGCATCATTGTGCAACTGACAATGGTATTAATATTTTACAGGATGATTATTATATGAATAATAGAGAAAAATTTATAAAGTTTACCATTAATTTAAAAGTTCGAAAAATAATAATGTTGAAGAATTTGATCACTTTTTGTACACTGTTCTTATAGTCGAGTCATTTAAGCTTAAATTAGGTAAGAATCTCGGAATTCGAGATACCCAGCTATGGGTATCTAAATACTGTATATTGACACCCTAAGAGTTGTCTCAAAACCTACATATGTTGCATACACCCTATCATACTAATTCAGTTTTTTAGAGAACGGAGTTCCCGATTTGAATGATTCAAAAAACATTTTACTTGTATTGACAAGATGAAGAACTGATGAAATTTTTGGGAAGGCAGGTCTAGCGGTTATGGACTCTCAATAAAAATAAGTTAAAAAAATGTCATTTGGCGGTCAAAAATGTTTATTGGACATATGTACATCAAATTATCAGATATTTTATAGAGATTTTAATAATGTGTACACATTTTGTGTAAATTTTATTAGGTTCCGTACCAAGATTTTTAATGACGGTACGGGAAGTTTCAGCAATTTGCCAAGACACATGCACCCCAATAGTTTATTTTTTTGTCTGTAATTGAACAGATTGTATCATAAGAAAATATTAAATTTTGTTGCCAAATCAATAAGAAGAAATCGCATATTAATTTGTTTGCTTACTATAATTTCAATACTATACACAATATAGATACTTATACATATATTCATCATAAAAACAAGAATTCTACATACTAGTTACATCAATTATTCAATGGCTTTTCTAAATTCCCACAATTGAATATTTTAATCATTATAACATCGATTTATTCATGTTAATTTATTTGTTGCCCCCATTTTTTTAAGTGAACTAACACTATAAATTGCTTGAAGATTATAGGACAATGTTGAATTTTGTGTACGGGCTTTGTACAAAATTTGGTGTAAGTGGTATAAACCAATAGAAAGGAATTCCTTATTAATTTTCATGCTTGATATAGTTTGCAAATTATATATAGATTACGTATTCAAACATATAATCATCTTAAAAACAAGAACTCTTAACTTAACTCTTAACTATTATCATAGTTTTTTATAACGTCTACGTGTATGTATGTGTATGTATTTATGTACGTATATGTGAAAGTGCATATATGTGTATGTATGTATATGTATGCGTATTATTTGAGTATATATGTATGTATATCTGTATGATATGTATATATATATATATATATATATATATATATATATATATATATATATATATATATATATATATAGATATAAATATACAAGTTATGAATTAGCAAACTATATTATATTACTGTATAAAGACAATTGGCGTATGAATAAATGAATAAATAAATAAATAAATAAATAACAATTATTCAATGACTTGATTCAATGATTCAATTATTTAACAATTGATTTTACTCACCACTTCTATGTGCCATTTGTGTGTCCCAAAATATGAACACTAAACCTAACCTGCAAATTCCAAATTTAACGTTTTTGTTTATCAGTATTATTTCAAACACCCATTAAAATATTCATTATCTGTTGACCAAAATCCCATTTTTGGTACTAGCACATTATTACTTAAAATAGCTTTTACTGCTATTCTAACTGTACTTTATGTTGTAACACATTGCGCAAAGCATTTCGAAAAACACTTTATTGGGAACATGATAGCTGCTAAAAACTATATCCATTATAAGATTTTTGATATTTTTTTTAATGGTACAAGAATTGTGAAGAAATATTTAATTCACTTGAAATAAATACATAAAAACAACGACCGAGATGATATAGGTTATAATGTGTCAAACGTCAAATGCAAAATGGCGCTGCTAGTACGAAATTTTGATAGGTTTGCGATGGGTACAATGCGCATGGACAATAATGCGGGCGATAGTGACAAATTTTGATAGATTGTGAATAAAAACTAAAAATTGATATTTCTTGAAAATTTTGAAACTTGTTCAAGTCGGTAGAACCATACTGGCGAAATGACGAGTACGTTTGTTTGAACAATATAAGAAACTTTAAACTAGGCTTGCACCGAACATTCGGCATTCGGCATTCGGCATTCGGCATTCGTCATATTCGGCACGTTTTTTGATATTCGACCGAATATCAAATAGTTAAAATAAAAAGGATCCGCCGCCGCCGCTCAGCGAAAATATTGGGTGTTTTATCTCTTAAGCGATAAAGAACTTGCGATGAATCTGTGTATTTGGAAGTCTGTAGTTTACAATGTTCACATATTATGATATGAAGAAATATGAAATGAATTTGTTATTGTATTTTGTATATATAATAATTTAAAGTTTATTGACTTTTGAGATTATTAAACGAACACGTGAAGAACTCTTTCCTCAATATTTTCGAAGGACACGTTATTATTATATATTCATGTTATTTGTTAAGAATCATTCAACATTTATGTGTGGTATCTATATTCAATAAAGTCTTGCATTATATTGCATCTAACCATTTCTAAGTAAAGAGATATTATAGGCTCCTTATCGTAAAAAAATCGAATAATACTTTTGGTTAGTTATAACATAACATATAAGGATATAAAAAATAATATTGTGTTTATAAAAGAAAACAATAAATGTTTATGAAAGAAATAATTAAAAATACATTTATATAAATGTAAAGAATCGCGTTTTGATTTTTTTCCCTATCACATATGTTATTAAAGTATTCGGTATTCGGCAAAATAATATAAATGTGTTCAGATTTTCCAAATAAGGAAAAGCAACCGAATAATAGTTGCAAGCCTAGACATAAAAATTGAATATACATGCAGTTCGTTAGTAATATAACAACTGCAAATAGCAATTGCTTCAATACGAACGAGTTTAGGCGCTAAAAACCTGCCGAATAGTTGCCGAATATTTGGTATTCAGTCTATAGAGCATGCCGAATATTCGGTATTCGACATTTTGCCGAATATACTATTCGTTGCAAGCATACTCTGAACATTATAAATATTGTTACGAAATCTATAGAAATAAAAACAAATATTGTACTTATTATTGAAATTTCTGCAAAATGTGTGATACATTAATGTGCATATGTTTAACGATCATTTTTTACCGCCGAATGGCATTTTTTTAAAACTGTTTTTCTGGATCTCCGAAGCTCTTAGACCGGCCTTCCCAAAAAATTAATCGATTCTTTATTTTGTTATACAAGATGTTTTTTGAATCATTCAAATCGGACGCTCCGTTCTCTTTAAAACTGAATAGACATTTATTGCACTTTTTGCCACTTATTTGCGAAACGGTCTTTAACAAAAACTAATCAGAACGGCTCCTCCAATAGGAATTGAATGTTTTTAATAGGCGAGTGACTTTTGAAATCCTATTTATTATTAGTTCTGTACACCTGTAACAAGTAACAGCCTAGTTGGTCAAAATTTATCATAATTTTTTTAAATAATATAATGATAAAATCGATCTATAATAAAATATTTATTTATAATTTTTATTTATAATATTTAGCTATAATATTTTAGAATGTTCATCTATAGAAAAGTTCATCCAATAAGCAAATGGTTTTTAAAAATAAGAATGAATTTTAATTTTTTGAAATCAGTTCAACAGTTTTTGAAAAAACATTAACGTACAAAACATTTTACATTATTTATTTCTACCCTTGGATATTATGTTCTTCATGATTAATATATAAAAATAATATTAATATTAAAAATCACGACTCATATAATATAAATAAATTATATGATTTTGATTCGGTTTATAATCTATATTATTAATTCGATAACTAAATCAAATTTATTTTAATATTTCCATAAAATGATAAACACGAAACCAGTAAACGCGGCGTACAGATTTTTTTAATTCACTTTGTAACATAAAATTATATTTTTCAGTTGCTTACTTTTTGTCGAATTAATTAATAAATTGTAATCAAAATACGTCATTAGCTCTTCTTTTACAATGGCAATATAATTCTGACAGTTTCTTCAAACTTGTTTTAACGTTATTAGGAGGTTCAACAACCTGTGCAAGAGTATTAGATCAACATGTAATACAAGAATAATGTAACAATCGACTATAAGTATAGAAAGACAATGTACATTGTTATAAATTTATTGAAATATGAATACCCAATTCATTCACTCGATCATTGATAATTGTTTTTTAAATTGAAATATTTTCAAAATAATGTCAAATAATTAAGTCATTAATATTTAATAAGCACTTACAATTAGAAAATATATTTTACTACGGCGTAGGCTATTTAAGCATTGGTTTCTGAAAATATATATAAAAAAATATTTTTATTTTGATTATAATTTATTTTTGTTCAAGAAGATATGACGGCTTTTTGAAATTATTTTTTTTTTTATTTTTGTTTTGTTTTGAACCATGCTTTTTTTTTAAAAAAAAGTTCTGTCACTTTAAATGGCGCAACCTTTATTATGGATATTATATTAATATTTGTTTGATAAACTCCGAAAAATATATTCTTGGCAAAATTAAACCGGCAATAGAATTTTCTTATTTAATATTATTATCTTTTACCTTAAGATTTTTATCTTCTATCACACATTTATTATCCATAAACTATAGCAGTAGACTCGATTTTTTTTCCAATAATTAAAAAAGTGTTATACCAAAAATTTTAGATTAGTGCTATAAAAATTAAATATTATAACTATTAAATGTTTATATTGAAAATAAAATTTTAATTATACATTTACTGGATATTATTAATTTATTAATTAAATTAATAAATTGACTATGATATTGCGCCCATGGCAATAGTACAATTGAAACACATTTTGCATTGTGCAAAGTATAAACTAAAGATGGAACAATGAGGAAAATCAATGCTTCAAATATCATTGACAACACTATAATACATACACATGCACACTATATATATACAGGGTGTCCCAGAACTCAATGCCCAGCCGAAATGGTCTGATAGTATTGAAAATTATGAGTTTTTAACTGCAACCTAGAGTTTTGGTCAAAATGATCATTTTTTAGTTAATGCGGTTAATTTTCATTAACGATTACGGATCCAAAGCTTAAATGAAGAAAACCAATAAAAATTAACCACAGGAACCGATAAATGGTCACATTTTCAATAAAGCTCTAGGTTGCACTTAAAAGCTCATAATTCTCAAACTAGACAAGATAAACTTTTTTAAATTTTTTTCATTATAATTATGATCAATATCAGCCTTGCCAAGCCGTTTCAGCTTGACGTTGAGGTCTGGGACACCCTGTATGGTGATACATTTTCACCCATAATTACGATTTTACTGTATTAAAAACTATAATGGTTTTCTGAAATATAAAACATAGTACGAAATAAATGTAAAGATGTAATGTAATCATTTAAAACCTATATTTTTCGAGTTTCGAATATATTATTAAAAGTATTATTATTTTTTCCTCTGTTACAGGTATGGATATTTTGGGTACGCGGGACGTGCACATGGGTCTTAGTGACCCTAGCGATAGTGATTCAACTATTTTGATATCTGAAGGTACGAGAGGACCCCAATTGGAAGCAGACCACAAAATAGTAATACAAGTCAAAGGACCCGATGGAGCACCACATTCACAAGGGTAAATATTCAAGAATTATATTTAGTATTATATATAACGAAATGAAATGCTCCTGGTTCTGTCTTCTGTGCTAGTGCATATTTTATTTCAAAAAGTTATTTTTTGACGTAGGTTTCATTCAATCACATCATATAATATATATTATAATTTAAGGTTGTTATTAGAATTAGAATTAGGTTTTATTATATCACATTATATAATATATATTATTTCTGAAGGAGTGACACTGCTGTGCACCCAGTAGCGCTACTGATCGGACTTAGCACATCATATAATATTTGAAGAATTTTCAATCATTATCTATAAAAACTGAATGTATTTAAAAATTAATTGATTATTACAACCGCAGAACTAAAAATTACTATAACAAATAAGATTTCACAATAATAATTTCTCTCACAATTTTCATTTGTCAGAGTAACAAATGTTGATGAGAGTATCGACAAACTGGATGTCGTCTATAGGCGATACCCGAAAACACAGGTCGTCATGCAGTTGTCGTCTATAGGCGACACTCCTAATCGCATATACTAATGTGGATGTCGCCTATAAGCGACACTCATCGCAGAAGACTTATATCATACATAATTTATACCATAGTTTTGAAAGTTCTTACCATCTGATGTAGTTAAATCTATTTTTTATTATTAGAGCACTATTATTATTTATGTTATGATTTTTTCTTTTATAGCTATCAAGAATTAAGAGACTCATTAGAAGACCTACCCAGTAGTATACCTTCAACAAATAATAGTAATCATGTTATTAGTAATCCAAGCAGCCAATGGAGTCGTGGTGATTCTCCCAGCCGATGCGGTGATGGTTCCAATTATTCCGGCGATGGATCTGATGATGGTTCTGATGTCGATTCTCTGCACAGTTTCCACTATAGTCCTAAAGCCGTAGATGTTCCCAGTGCTATCAGATTAGCTAAGAGGCTCTACACGCTGGATGGGTTCAAAAAGTCGGACGTTTCTAGACATTTGAGTAAAAAGTGAGTTGAATAGACAATAAGAATTGATTTTGTGGGGCATAAATGATTTTAAGAACATGCCATTGAAGATAGTATGCAGTGTGATCTTTGTATAACTTTGCCTATGGGGTACGGGAAAGTTCATGTAACTTGTCTCAAGGCAAAATACCAATACCAACTAGTTTTGAGATCATTTGATATTTTCTTTAATGCGTTGGTTGAATATCTATATATAATCTCTTATTTTTTTCAGCAATGACTTCAGCAGAGCAGTCGCTGACGAGTACTTAAGGCATTTTGATTTTGAAAATACGGGTCTCGATGAAGCTTTGAGGACGTTTTTGAAACAATTTTCATTGACGGGAGAAACGCAAGAAAGAGAAAGAGTTCTTGTACACTTTTCCAAGAGATATTTGGATTGTAATATTGGTAGCTTTAATTCACAAGGTAAAATTATTATTTTGAATCCTTTAGTCATCCTGTGTATATTTTATAATTATATATAATATAAGGATATAATTTATTATTATTTTTTCAGATGCTGTACATACATTGACTTGCGCCATAATGCTTTTAAATACGGATCTTCATGGCCAAAATATCGGCAGGAAAATGACTTGTAGTGAATTCATAGATAATTTAAGTGAATTGAACGACGGAGATAATTTTCCACGGGAAGTTCTCAAACAACTGTACATGGCCATCAAAAATCATCCTCTTGAATGGGCTCTGTGAGTATTTAGGACATTATGTCTAAATTTTTACAGTATTGGCTTATTATATTGTATATTTTAAATTATAAAACGTTTTATGTAGAAATTCTGATTCACCGTTCGCAGTTTACTGGTTAATGAATGGAGTTTTCAATGTTTTTGTTGATTTGAATAATTCAGATAATTATTATTGCTGTTTATAATATAGCGATGAAGAACTTGAAGATGCAGCCACAATGCAACAAAGGAAAAACCAAATGGTATCCCAAAATGACGGAGGCGCTATTAATCTCGCTGGGCCTAATCCATTTTTGGAACTTCCCGATACAACATGTGCTGTAGAATACAAGAAAGGTTACGTCATGAGAAAATGCTGTTTTGATGCTGATGCAAAGAAGAGTGAGTTGAATATTTGGTTTAGCATCATCCTCCTTAATATGCTTATATAGTAGTTTAAAACATCATCACAGTTCTCTCCCTTCATTACCTGTTACTATTATTACTAGAGTTTTGCCATCACATTGATTTTTTTTTTCTGTATCCTTCATATGATTTTGTTCACTTGCATTTGCAATTCTGTAACATACAAGAAAGAATTGCTTTCATTGTGGTTTTGTATATATTCACATTGAAAAACGGTAATTTAGAAATAGCAACACATTTCATTATTAGGTTTGATATTTCAGCATTACTATATTTTTATAACCATCTAATATTTTTTCAAAAGTGCATTCATCTTCATCTGTAGATTTTCATATATCATTGCATTTGCGCAAATGAAATTATCTAGTAAAGTATAAATCATGGATAATTGATGCAGTTTGTTGTGGTTTGTTCACAGCGCCGTTGGGAAAACGAGGATGGAAAATGTTTTATTGCACATTAAGAGATTTGGTTTTATATCTACACAAAGATGAGCATGGATTCAGGAAGAGCCAGGTAATTTAAATATTTTGTTATCAAGTAGTAAATTTATTTATAAAATAAGTCGATGGGCTTGAACGTTTCCAATAAAAACTATTATCTCAAAAATAGATAAAATATGGTATTTTTTAATGATTTTATTTTGAGTAGCGTCTCTACTAAAAGTCAAATTGGATCTTTATACCCCTATTATCAATGATAATAATGTTAACATAATGATTTCTTTAGCAAGGTTAGGAAATGGTTTACCTTCGAAAGCATGATACGAGTACTATCAATAATCAGAATTGTACCAAGGAGTTATTTTTTTATCTCATATTTTTTTCTTTTTTCAAAATTACAGATGTCAGACAATTTGCATAACGCCATACGCATACATCACGCGCTGGCAACAAAAGCGCAAGATTACACAAAGAAGCAACACGTTTTTCGGTTGCACACGGCCGATCAGGCTGAATACTTATTCCAAACCAGGTTTGTATTGATAAATTATTTTATCATTAAATATTTCCAATATTTATATATATTTTTTTGCCCTTACAGTGATTCCAAAGAACTTCAATCGTGGATTGATACAATAAATTTTGTTTGTGCGAGCTTTTCTGCTCAACCCTTAGACGGAGCTGTTGGTTCGCAAAGGCGGTTTCAAAGACCACTGCTGCCATGTAGTCATACAAAACTTAACCTGGTTAGAATCGGTTTAAACTCATTTATTATAAAAAATTACAAAAATAAATATTTATTTTAATACTATTTATAGCACCAGCAACTACAGTCACACGAGGAACGTGTTATCAAATTAGAGGCTGAGTTAGAAGAACATAGGAAATCTCCACCGGAGCGAACGGCCAAAGCTTTACTAGTACAAAATTATAAGGAAAAAGATGCCTATTTACAGTTTGAAGTAATATTTACAAATTATAAAAGTTTATAATTATAGACTATATAGAAACTATAGCGATAAGGTGTTTTATTAATGATTGCATTTATATTTCTTACAGTTAAAACGGTACAAAACCTACAGTGTATTATTAAGATCTAAACTAACTCAATACCCAAGTCCAGAATTAGCTGGAACGATGGGCGTTACGGAGGAATGTATTGTTGCCCCGCCGATTCCTGACAGGCCCTTACCTGGAATGTTAAATCACAGGTGAGAATGGATAAAATAAAAAAGAGTATATTTTCATTAAAATTTACTGATCATCAGTGAGAACTTTATTTGGTTATACTTGAAACTTTAGTTCGGTTTGAATTATTTAATAATTTAACTGTGAGATTGACGAATCATCATAATTCATCATGAAGAAGTGTCAGAGTTTTACATATATTCTTCAAATGTGAAAATAATAAAATTCATCAATAATAATTCTTACATATTTAATATATGTATGTATTATATTTAAGAGTGCACATCAATCGTGATTAATACAAAACCCAGAACGGAATATTTCTTCTATATGGTGCATCTTCTGAAAATAGTAATTCCTAACTTAAATGATTTTTTATAAAAACAACTTTTAGACGTATAATATTTATATTGGTAGTATAATTTTACAGCAAAAATTTGGATTTCTGATCTTTGTCTGATCAACTAATCAATCGATTTGAATTACACAAAAAAAATTCAACTTGTATTGACAGTGTGATGTTCAGTGTTTGAGAAATAATGAAAAAAATAAGTTTATCACGTTGACTGCCAACTATGAGATAACTTGAATTGTGATCTTTTCTAGGACAACTACATGTTGTCTCGTCCTGCGAGTTTCCAGTTTTGTGTAACTCAAAATATAACAGTGCTAATATCGATGTTTAGTTTCTCGGAATTAATGAAAAACTAATCGTGCGTGGCATCGTGCCTTGAGGCAAATTACTGACACTTCCCGAACTTTTTAAAAATTTTAAATTTTTCAAAAAAATGACTTTAAAAAACAAAACTTTTTAGAGAAAATGAAGTTTTTTTTAATATTTTGAAATATTTTGGAAATTTTGATCTTTGTTTAAAAGCAAACGCCCTGCTTTAGCTGCATAGAGATGAAATATCGAAGCGCGTAAGTGCCGCGTAGCAGTCTAACGGACAAACGATGTTACGGAACCGAAAGAAATGTAAACAAAATTCATACGCATTATTAAAATCTTCATAAAATATCATTTTTGACCGCCGAATGTCTTTTTTTTATTTTTTTTATTGGTTCTCCGTAACCGCTACACCTGCTTTCGAACAATTTCATCAGTTCTCCATTTTGTCAATACAATTAAAATGTTTTTTGAATCATACAAATCGGACGCTTTGTTCTCTCAAAAAATTAATTACTATTTTTGGCACTTTTTGTCCCGTATCTTCGAAACGGCTCGACCTGCCATTGCCAAAAACTAACCAGCACGTCTTCTCATCAACACGAATCGAATGTTTTTTGAATTATTCAAATTGGTTTACCCGTGTTCCCGTAATCGTCGACGAAAATTTGTATCTGCACACACACAGACACACATACACACACATATATACACGTATACATACATACACACACAGACACATATATTTATTTTTTTTAAGGTATGCCAAAATGTTCAGAAGACCTTAAAACGTAAAGATATGCAAAAAAATTTATTTTCGATTTTTTTGCGATTACTATAACTTATCCTACGGGAAGTTAATTAAGGCTGGCTTGAATGAATAGAAAATTGAGCAAGAAACAATTTTATTGTATTTTATTGATTGTGAACACATTTTTTTAAATTTGGTTAAAAACTGTGCATTAGAAATAGAGATTCGAATCAAATTGACATTTTTGACCAGGTTTTCGACGACATTCAACGTTGTAACTTACATTTTATGAAATCTTAACTATTTGCTCTTCGTTAGTCTGTTGCACCATATGCTGCACATGAGCATCGGCTATGGAGTGCGAAGGGTTAAGACTTGATTAAGTCAATTCTTTTCGATCTAAGACTATAATCGATGTTTAATTATTTTCCAGGTACAACAGGTCCGCAATGAACACCTTAAACAATATGAATTACCACACAACGAACGGCGACGGCGAGTACCCCGGCGAGATGTTGAGCAGATCGTCCGACTCCGAGCACAACTCCCTGATGCAGCAGGCTGCTTCGAATTACAAGTACGAAAGCATTAATCATTGTAATAGTCCTTCGTCTGGTGGTGGAAATAGTAATCAATTTGTCATTAATTCGCAATTCTCTAATTACGGTAGTAGCATTAACCAATTAGGCGGTGTCGGTAACCATCAATACAATGTAAATAGCTCGCATTTCGGCGTAACAAACGCCCAATTTAGCAGACTGAGCAGCGCCCATAATTCAAATTCCCATAATCGGTACAGCTACAGGGCCGCGATATATGATAATGATCTGGGGTGACGAGTTTTAGGCGTTTTTTCAGCATGTGTTGTTTAAGAATGTTTGTACTTGACTCTCCGATTAAAAGATATAAGGTGTACTTGAGTGATGACAATATATTGTATATGTTCTTGTTTTTTGTTAAGTTGAATGTTCTTTAGTGATTGTTATATTATTTTGATACGGAAAAAATTAATAAAACAAAATAAAATAAAATAAATTTATAAACATATGTATATATTTAAAGTAGAATTACTTCACATTTTTAATTTGTTTCAAAAATTCATATTAGCTTTAGCAGCTAGACAAAAATATAAATATTATTTTGACAAAAAATATATAAAAAAAATAAAAAAATAAAGAATGTATCGCAAAGTTTAGCCACAGATATAGTTTTTGATATTTACTGTTGATCTCGTATAAGAAAAATGTAATCATTTTTAATAAAGTTGTTAAGAATACTATTTAGCAATGAAACGTTAATTTAAAGTTAACATATAAATTAAATTAGCCACTATCGAAGTAAATATAAATAACGATAAATCTATTTTTCCTAATTCGAGCAAAAATTATACTCAATTGCATATGATTTAATGATATAGCTATTTAGGATATGGTATTTTTTTTGTTTCAAACTCTATTAGTAGATTTTAAATTTCAATAGAAATTCGGTTTATTTTTAGCAAAATCATATGTTTTTGAACAAAATTAAATTTATTAATAATTTGCGTTCAAAAAGTAAATATACGCGTACTTAACCACTTACGAAATTATTTAATTCGTTGATTTAATGCATGTTTATATGATCATTGCAGTTTGATTGTAACTGACGTGAATTTTAACACTTTCACTGCTACCTTTGCCTTTATTTTAGCAATTTGCACTTTTATTTTTAGTTTTAGAGTAGTGTTCAGTAAAATAAAATTTTGTACTACAATTAGTTACAAAATTAATAAGCATTGGCATTATTTATAAATTTTAATTTATTGTAAAATTTGTTTCTAAAATATTATAACACCAAATTCAAATTTTATGAAAAACGAGAAATTCAACAAAATTATAATGAAACTTTAATGAAACATTTAAATTTAAAAACAAAATTAAAAAAAAATATAATATTTGATCGAAAGAACGAGCATAAAAAAGTCTAGTGGTGGGATTGCATAACCTGGCCCATTAGCCCACCTGGCCAAGTGGGTTTGAATTTTGATATAATTTTTTTAAAATTTTCAAATAGCATTATTTAATATCTAGAAAGGTTTTATTTAATATTAAACGATTAGAAAAGTGTAGTTAAGGGCTTGGTGTAAGCAACACAAGGTTAGCAGTGAATGTGCTAAATAAAAACGCCGTATGAAATATTTTATTTATCAATGTTTAAATTTTTACGGATAATGTGATAACACTGTTCTTTATTTATTTCGTTTTAATTGCGAAGTATGAAATGGCTGTTTAAATTTAAATTGTATTCTATTTTTGATTACCGTGTACAATAATATTGCATCACTGAGTACATCTATCGACGTGTGATGCAGTTGCGCTGCCAGTTATTTAATTATATTGTTAAGAGTTATTTATATTGGATTGTTGTGTAAATTTATTAGGTGTATATGTAAAATATTTTTGCTTTATGATATATATGGCTATGGGCTTATTCATTGGTTTTTTAGTCTTATTATCATAGGAGCTTTATTTGTTTCGGGTATGCAATTGTTTGTTTTGTATATTCATACAGATATATTTTTGAAATTTTGTACTTTTGTATTATATTATGTATATATACATATTTATTGAGACTAGTGCGACATAATGAATTATATTGCTGGGACGGATATATTTTTTGATATATTTGGAAGTTATTGCTGATTACAATAGTGATTTTAATCGGGAAAGCCAAAAATATATGTATTATTAAATTATAGCAGGTCTGAGAGCCGAAGTGGCCAAGTTATAGAACGGACAAAAACTATTGAAGTGACGATTACCTTTGATTGAATTTTCTTAATGTATTACTGGAGCGTTAATTAGCGAAGCCATAGCGACTCAATAACCCATGGAAAAATCGGCAAATTTTATCAAAGTTGTATATTTGTATCAAAAAATATAATACAAAAAATATGCTTGTTTTAACTTACAACACTCGAATAATTTAGAAATATAATCACGGTGGATAAAGGCGATATCTATGAAACGATCCTAGTCATTAAAATGGACGATCCTACAAATCATAGGTCCTGATTTTTTATGTATCTTATAATCAGATCCATTAAGAGAGTATTCTAGTCTAGAGACATAAATTTTATGCTATTTTTGAAAGGCCGTAAAAATGCAAACTTTATTAATTAGCAAATATATATACATATATTCATTATATATAAAATTTTCGTATTATGTTGTTACTCCTTCGAAACGGTTTGACCGATTTTTATGAAATTTTATAACGACGTTCAGTATGATTGAGAATAGGCCAACATCTATTATTCATAGACCCAAAAAGTAAGGGTTGGCTACCCCTAGAATTTCTTTCATTTTTTTGGACCAATTTTCTTTATTCTATTTTTATGTAATTTGTATTTAAAAACACCCCCAACACTAAACACTTATACCACAAACCCCTATTTCGCAATAGTCATTTTAGTAATCGAATCATTTTTCATCCCATTTTCAGTCAATGATCGTTTTATACCGAATTTCGATTAAGATGTTCTATGTAAAACTTATGCAGAAGCTTAACTTTAACTTAAAAAAAAAATTAATAATAATAATCTGAATTTTTTGAACAAATTTGTTTTCTATTTTAATTTTTATTCATGACGACATAAGTCGCAAAGCCAAATAATGTATTGTATTATGATTATACCATACTTTTCTTCTTATATACTCAATTTTTCTTTTATGTAATATAATGTGGAACAAATAAATCTTTTCAAACAAAAAACAAAAAACCATATTTTCCATACGAAGTGGGCAAACCTTTCAGTTTGATTCTATTATCAAAAGATGGTCTAATTAATATTATTAATATAAATTTTATTTAAAATTGCAAAGCCTGGGTTTTTATTGTATTTATAATTATCATATTTTCTACATATTCTTAAACAATTACAATAAATTAGTAATTTTTTGGCTTCTTTACAAATTCTCTAGAAATAATTTACATGACAGGGATTTGGGTATGAGCATAGTTCAAACTGAAGAGAAGTATATACAGAAAGTAATTTTAATTTGGAAAAATTTTCATGTTTCGAATAGTTAAGCTTTAAAAAAAAGAAAAAAAAAACGGATTTCTTTAAAAATTCTAGACTAGAATACCCCTTTAACTAAGCTATATTAACCGTGGTTAGATTTGTTTTAAAACGCCTGTCTTTATATTTGACTGTTACCGACTCAAGTGTGCCATATATTATCGCAATCGCATATTTAGGTTTTTATATTTTTTATTGATTTCTAGAAACATAATTCATAATTTTATGACAATATTCCAACCTCTTAAATTTAACAGTAAAACAGTACTGACATCGTAATTTAAGTACGCGTAAAATATATTAGGTTAGTAATAAATATATAAGTTTTGTCTATAGTGTATTTGTTTTTTTAGAGATTATTCAATAGCATTATCGTCGATGAAAATCAAAACGTATAGGCTATTTATTTTATTACCAGCAAAATATTCGTGAATAGACTGCATAATATGAACAGTTAGATGTGTTAATAATTTTATTTGAAGATTTGATATCAGCCGATACACCTCTATGAAACAGTTTTTTACAAATTTATTATTCTGCATAATAAAATAATTTTCATGCGTAACAAATTTATTTGCAAATAACCGATGTCAATGTTTAAGTCAATTACAAAAGTCTCAGAAAATTTCTTCATGAGGAACACTTATTTCTACACCGACCTTTCTGCACATACCCATATATATATATATATATATATATATATATATATATATATATATATATATATATATTAGGGTGGTCCTTAATATGGACATTTTCGAATTTCCTTGCTCCCAAGGGCTCAAATGGTTCCAAATTGATAAAAAACAACTCTCTGAAAGTTTTAGCTCTTAAAATTAACTTTTAGATAGTGCGCAATTCAATCAAACTTCGTATGGAAAGAGCATGGGAAAAATTTTGAAAATTTAAAAAAAACAATTTTTAGGTATAACCTAGCGACAAATGAATTAAAAGTGAAAATTCGTGTCATTTTTTATTGAAAATTTGACGCTCTGCAAAATTTTTGAAAATTTTTTCATGCCATTTTCATACAAAATTTTTGATTGAATTGCGCTCTATCTAAAAGACAATATTAAGAGCTAAAACTTTCAGAGAATTGTTTTTTATCAATTTGGAACCATTTGAGCACTTGGGATTCCCAATAACCTAGTTTTTCTCTATAATTTAAATATTCGAAATATTTTTATATAATATAGTATATATTAGGATAGAATTTGCAATGAGTCTAGTGCAAAATATAAATTACAATAATGTCATGTATATTATTTATATAAACCAGTATATATGAAGTTAATGGATAATGTAGTATTAAAAATTGAAAAAATAGTAGATAAATTTATAAAATAATGCTAAATATGAACTGTTAATTAACTATGTTGATACTAGTATACCTTATAACATTTTTTTCAAGATGTACTATATATGAAATACCACGAAGAAGTTCCATAGTTATTAAAATATTATTCTTGAATTTCAAATGCTTTCTGCAATTGTTCTTCTAGATGAATATATCTTTGACAAATATTATATAATATCTGACAAATATAATATATCTCGATTTTTTCTTATATGAAATGTGTTACTATCATTCTCTGGACGTTTTATAACTATTCGTGATATTTATTTAATGATGTAATAAATTAATAATTTTAGTTAGCAAAGTAAATCTAGGTGTTTGAAAATCTGCATGGCTAAATTAATTTTATAATTAAAATTAGATTTAATACGTCATGTAACTCGGGATATGGGCTCAGATTTATTTGTTGAAATGTTTCAAGCATGTATACTCTATTCCCATGTTATATTTTGTATGGAAATTGTAAATCATAAATTTAGTATTGTATAAAATTAACAAAATATATTAGCATCTAGATCCGAATTGCCGATGTAGGCAAGTTTCTTGTTGTTTTTACACGTATTTTTATACTTTTTGTAAAGTTAATGCTATTATTAATAAGTTCATTTGCCGAATATTAATACAAAGCGAAAGTAAGGTGTCCTAAAATCTGTATGTAAAATTAAAGAATACAAATTAAGCACCCATCCTATATTACAAATAACAGAAATTGCGAAAAGTTAAAATATATATTGGTACTGAAGTATATGAAATATTAAGCGCGATCGGTATATAATAAATATTGGGTAATAAAAAAAAAAAAAAAAATATTTGCTTGCTTCCTGAATTTATTACAAATCATGATCTTGGGTTAGTAATATTATTTTTCGAGAATGGAATGTTATCAATACAATGTTGCTTAGTGAAACAATGTATATCCAGGGTGTCCCAGAACTCAACGCCCAGCCGAAATGGAGTGACATAATCGATTGTAACTATTGTGGAAATTATGAGCTTTTAAGTTCAACGTAGAGCTTTCGTTAAAATGTGACTATTTTTTGGTTATTGTGGTTAATTTTGATTATTTTTATTCATTTAAACTTTGGACACGTAATCTCGAATAACATTTAGACCACAGTCTATTAATAATGACAAAATTGTTCCTAGTTTTCTACAATTAAAAGTTTGAAGATTTTGAACGACTTTCAAATGTTCTTCAAGAAAGGTGGTCTTAGAAGTGGTTTCCAACGTTTTTTGCACCGCGCCCCCTGCTCTATAAAAAAATTGTTGCGCTCCCATTAATATTTAAACAATTTAATTTTATGAATACTCAACTGATATTGTTTATTTCTTAAAACCATTCCAAAAATTTTGGGTAATTTTCGAAAATAGTATTTGGAAACAGGTGTACGGGCGCGCCCCACAGTTGGAAACCGCAGTCAAAAGGTGTCTTTACAAGTGTCGTCAAAGTTTGCGTATTTAATCAGGTTTGAAAAATGGTGCAACATTTGTTAGTTTATCCTAAAAAACGAGTAAAGAAATAAAAACCAAAAAATGTCCCATTTATGCTAAAGATTTTAAAAAATAGACTTATATTCTAATAATTTTTTTTGGAACGCTATCATTCTTGGTTTATCAGATTAAGACTTTGACGTTATTATTAAGATTTTTAAATTTTTGGCTTGACATTTTTCAATAGCTTGTGTTTCACATAGCAAATTTGTTATGTAAATATTCCATGTCTCTCTATATAAAGGTATTCACAAAATTAATCTTTTAGAGCAACTTACAAAAATCAATTTATTTTTGGTAATGATATTATTAATAATTTTAAATATTTTCAATAATGTGAGATCTATTGTGGAAATAGATTTAGAAGCAAAGGGACGATAGGGACAATTATATTTTTCAAGAAGAACCAGATCTGAATATCGATAAAGATAACGTTAATAATCAAAATGAATAAATTAAAAATATTAACTCGAGTCCTGGAAAAGAGATTTAATTATAAAAATTGAGACAAAGGAGCGCGTTACGCGCCTACTTTTTCTCAAAAACAATTTTTATTATTAAAGCATTTTTCATATGCCTCTAATATTTTGGAAGTTTATTTTGATTATCAATTTTGTCACTAAACGGAGTTTCATAAATCCTATGAAAAATGGACTGGGTTGCCATAAAAACGAGATGGAACGATTTCTAATTATTTTTAATGGCAAATATGTCAG